GGGGGGTGTAGTGGGTTGTAGTTTTTTCAATCCCGTGTCCCTGTTTTGAGTGCCACGTTAGTATCAAACCATCAGTGACTACTGTTACATTGTTAGTGAGTAGGTGCAGCAACATTTCAATATTTCAATAGATCTATAAGAGAATGTGAAGACTTATGATGAGGTCGATTTGGTAGTGTTTGATTTTTAATTTATTAGTGGGTTTTCTCAAGCTTTTGTCGCTTATTCCAGCACCCCCAGGCTGTTCTGGGAGGTATGTGTGGGGAGGGGGTGGGGGAGGAGGGAGGGGGAGTGAGACACATACCCCTTTCCCACTCTCCTTGCCAAAAGTTGTCCTTGTTAGTTAACTTGCTCGGTTGTCCTTTGTTTTTTGTTTCTTGTGTTTCATTGAAACAGCTCCCTAAAGGTTTGTTGAGAATATTCTTGACAACATGCATTGATTGTAATATCATTGTAATCATCATCATCATGATCATGATGATCATCATCATCAAAATCATCATCATCATCAAAATCATCATCATCATCATTATTATCATTATTATCATCGTTATTATTTATATATGCAAATATTATCCTTTCCCCCTCCTCGTTGTGTGTGTAGACAAGCTCTCTGTGCAATGCCACAATCTCGGTGTTTGGACGGGAGCTGTGCCTTCACACCAAGGGAGACAGCACCAACTCCTACACCCAGGCCGTGCACGTATGTGAGCACATGGGGGGACAGCTGCCCGAGGCGCTCACCGGGAACCACACGGCCGCCATCACTGCTCTCTTCCCGGACCGTGAGTCCTGTAGTTCTTTCAAGAGGAAAAATTGCGTTTCGTAAAAAAAAAAAAAAAAGGCTGTTACTTTCTGTCATTTAATGAGAAAAAAAATTGACTATTTAATGTGCCACAGCTTTCTAGATACGATGCTAGGCAGACACGTTTTGGCCTAACTTTGAAAGTGATGTTCGTCGCATTTTGTCGGAAAACTGTTCACATTACACACACACACACAC